AGCTGCAGCTCTGAGTTGGCACAGATGAGTCACGGAGAGAGAGATGGACACACACCAGCCGATTCTCACTTGCGTGAGTCATAAAGTTCACAGTTGCCACTCATCCGATCAATGTCACTGCACTTGACAAATCACAAAGTGACTGTTTAGCATTCGAGGTGCTTACTTTGTTTACATTGGCTTTAAAAGGCATAAAGGCAGCACTGTTGATTTCCTTTCTGCTTCTATGTGATTGATAGTTTCCAAGCAGCGACTCGGTCGATGTATTGATCAGAGATGATTCGGTTTGTAAAAAAAAAATAAAAAATTAATCTGTCAGGTGGTTTATCAGATGCACAACGTTAAGCAGCAGTGATCAATGGCTGGAGCACGTGTGGCTGAAAATATTCAGCTATATGAAAATTTTGATTGACATGAGTACAATATATAACTAGCTGGGTGAAGGTTTGGGGCTCTAACAGAGAGCCTGAAGCTGCAATAAACTGAACAGGCTGAAGCACGGGGGGGGGGGGGGGGGGGGGGCCAAAAGGGCGAGAGCCTGAAGCTGCAATAAATTGCACAGCCTGAAACCCTCGGGGGAGGGGGGAGGGCACGAAGGAGCCAGAATGGCGTCTGGAGGGAGAAACGGAGACAGTGTGATACAACCCACCCACACTGCATGGAAAACTGTGGTGGTGAGCCATATTGCTGGTGCCTGTTTGCCCAAGGCTGTTAGTAAAGCTGACATCAGCGTGTTCTTTATAGTCTATCAATAAATGTGTATATGTATCAGAGCAGTATGACATAGACTGCATTTGAGTACACCATCTAGCCCAAGACCAAGCACAGAAACATTCAGGAAAGTCTCAGAATATTCCAGAAAAACAGACACAACAGAGCAGCAACAAAAGCCTCTTGTCCAGCTATATCATCTCCAACGACAATAAAAGCCACAAACAGGTGTCCTCATTCAGGATTTTGTTTGCAATTTAAATAATGGCAAATCAACAAAAGTATATATATATGTGACCCTGAACCACAAAACCAGTCATAAGGGTACATTTTTCGAAATTGAGATTTATACATCATCTGAAAGCTGCATAAATAAGCTTTCCATTGATGTATGGGTTGTTAGGATCTGACCATATTTGGCTGAGATACAACTATTTGAAAATCTGGAATCTGAGGGTGCAAAATAATCAAAATATTGAGCCTTTAAAAACGCCTTTAAAGTTGTCCAAATGAAGTTCTTAGCAAAGCATATTACTAATCAAAAATTAAGTTTTAATATATTTACAGTAGGAAATTTACAAAATATCTTCATGGAACATGATCTTCACTTAATATCCTATTTTTGGTATAAAATAAAAATCTATAATTTTGACCCATACAATGTATTTTTGGCTATTACTACAAATATACCCCAGCGACATAAGACTGGTTTAGTGGTCCAGGGTCACATATAGACTTATATATATATATAGTGCAAGTATAGTACAATTTAAATGAGGATAAATAGGTTGTAGGTATTAAGTACTCTAGGGAAGTTTATGACAAACTGTAATTATAGCATTTTGGTAATAAATTATAGTTGTATTGCATTATAGTATTATAGTATTATGCTTGCAGATTTTCTATTTTAAACATTTTTTAATATATTCAATATATTTTAAATGCATTTTAAGAACCACACAAACCATTAAAAGCTAAAATAATGATTAAATAATTATTTTAAATTATATAATAAAAAAAGATGGTTAACAATGATTAACAAAACAATAAATAATGCAATAAAGTTTACATTAACTTTTATTTTTACAGTATTTTCTAATCTAGATTAATTTAAAAATAGATACTTTTGCTCATTAATTCATTACATTAACTAATATATACAATTTAGGGATGTTAAAATGTTGCTTTATATGTAGAAATTATCATTAACCAAGATTAATAAATGCTATAAAGTATTGTGTATTGTTATTTCATGTTACTTTTTGCTCATTGTAAAGTTACATTCAATCAGTTTTAACCTAAAGTCTCGTTATATGTGAACTAGTCAAATACAAATGGATTTCTGACCATGGGTGCAGAAAAAGTCATATAGAACAGTTTAGAAAAAAATGTCTGATGACTGAAGCAAATTGATCTGTTCAATAAAGGGGTTTCTTCGTATCAGCAAGCTTTTTTCTTTCACTTTTTTCTCCTTTCAATTGCTGACCAGTGGAAAAAGATAAATGCACCCAATTCAGCCTCTAGCTCTCTATCCGGAGCTTTGTAATAGCTTCTTTCCTTGGGAGGCAAGATTCCAATTCAACGTATCATGTTATATGAATGAGATTCCTATAAATGCCTATATTTATGCACATATATTTTCAGCCCACATTGGGCTCATTGTTGCTCCTATTGAAGTTCGGATGGAAGCAGCTGCAACAGACATATTCAACAGATGTGTCAAGGTCTGTGCACATAAATGGATGTAAACATAGCCATAGACGTATACAGCACAGCAGCTCCATATTAACAACACTCCAAAAAACATTAATGCTTCTGAATACTGGCATCTCTGATTAGATCCTTCCATACAGACACACCTCATACAGGCCATTCAAAGCGATTGTGCTTCAAAATATGGGAACAAGCACATACATATTTCCTTATAATATAGAAACTGCATCTTAAGAGTGCTGGAAGGAACATAAGAGGAGGGCAGAAACGGCAGTTGAGATCCCCATGTGGTCTTGGAAGGAGGGCAGAGTCTGAAGGACACTTTCTCTGTGTATGTGAGGGTGCTAATTCAATCAGGCCGTCAGTTTCCTGGTGTCCGCCTTCCTCAGTGATCTGCCTGTAATTGAGTTCCTGATCAGCTATCCATCAATAATTTATTTGATCCACAAATACAGTGACAACACAGCGGCCTGGGAGGAGACGGGATCCATTTTGGCACAGCGCAGATCTATTAGTGCTCCCAGAACTGCCATCACTGGGTTACAGTCCAGTTCTTCAAAGCTACTGTCCTAAGCTCACACAACTGGGAAAAATATCTTAGTCATTAACTAGCACAGTCTCTATTTAGAAAAATGTTTCATTGCCATGTTGGCTGGAGGTAAGTAATACATTGATTGCTTAAAATCTTTAGTAAATGTCTTGAAGTACTAATATGTTTGTTTGATAATGAATTTCTTGGGTTTTAAATGGGATCTTGAAGTCCGAAACCACATTGATAATCGCTGAGTTTTAAAAATCCGACAATAAACAAGGTGATATAATGTAAAAATAAATATTTAAGAGTAAAATCAAATACAATTCTGAAATTCATTTAAAATAAAATAAAATTGTAAGTGCAAAATTTGGGAGTAAAATCAAATATTACAAAACTTTGTATTTACATATAATGTACAATTAATTTATCATTTTTAAATGAAAAAAAAAATTAGTAAGAATAAAATTGAAGTAAAATATGATACTACAACATTCTGAATTTATATAAAACAAAATAAAAATAAAAGTACATATGAGCAAAATTCAGGAGTAAAATCAAATACTACAAAATTTTACAATTCATTTCAATAAAATAAAGAGTAAAAGCATAATTCAAATACTAAACAATTCTGAATTCAATTAAAATAAAATAAATTTACAAAAATAAAATAAGAGCAAAACCTAAGAGTAAAATCAAATTCTACAACATTTAAAACTTCATATAAAATAAAATAAAATATTACAAAACTTTGTACTCACGTATAATGTATAATTCATTTATCATTTTAAAATAAAAGATAAAAAAAGATTTGAACAAAATTTAAGTAAAATCAAACACTGCAACATTCTGAACTTATATAAAATAAAATAAATAATAAATAATACATAAAATAAGAGTAAGTGTAAAATCAAATACTAAAAAAATTGAATTCTATTAAAATAAAATAAATATACAAATTTAAGAGTAAAATCAAATACTACAACATTTAAAAAAATTTTTTAATTAAATAAAATATATAAGTATATAATATTTCTACTGATTCTGTACATAAAATCTAAGCAAATATTAAGCCAAGGTTATCTTCACCAGTAGGACATCAATGTAAAGCTTTGGTGATCAGACTAGAAATCTACTGTGAGGTCTTGTGAGTCCAGTATTATGAGACAGGCTGATACATTGTCAAATTATCTACGGTCAATATTGCAATCCCTCAAGCAAATGCATTACTCACAATGGCACATTAGCTCATATAAAAAGACCAGTCTTTCACCATACAACACTGACATACGTCTCCCACTCTTTTTTCAGCGACTTAGGCACCAATTAATGCTGTTTTCTTGCACATGACAATGCTGTTTCAAGGTTAAACTGCACAACTGTCTGAATGATTTTCATTAAACTCTCCTCCCCTATTACAGACACACAGAATTTTGAATCATCTGTCACTATTCTGTGCTTACCAATGAGTGCATACACTGCAACACAGACTGATAGCAGGACTTACATGTGCAATATGTATTTACAATGGATTTGCATATGGAACACGATTAGATCCTACAGCAGTCCACCTGTAGGACTGTTATACATAAGGGCTTGTTATGATCTATAGCCATTTGCATCATCCCTTTATCCTTCAGCCACATGAATTAATAGTAAATTTAAGCCTCCATTACATGACTGACTCTATGGCACATATGTACTACACTGCAAACATTATAAAAGCCATTACAGGAACATTAATTAAACTGTGAAAGTGACTTTAGAGAATGAAATGAGGTAAAGGACAGACTACAGAGCAGTCAGAGGACAGGAGAAGGTTCTTACTGCAAGCACACGTTGTGAATATGATAGTAAAGAGAAAATGTCCATTGATTTCTGTCAGTGTTGAGGTTCAAATTCATTAGCACTAGATTCTGCACAACAAGGTGCTTCCTGACATCGGCCTTGTCTCAAATAATATCACAGTAATTGCTTTTTAAAATGTATGAAAGTTTACACAACTCGAGAAATACTGGGAAAATACAAGTTCAAACAGACATACCGTGTTTGAGAACAGCTTGTGGCATTTCTTGATTCCATTAACCCTTCTTCTGCCAATAATTCTGTGCCTTCTTCCTTCCTGTCAAATGCAAAAGAGACAAACAATTATGGCATATTCAAAGTATGTAAAGGAAGTTTGCCCAAAATGAAAATTTTGGCTTATGTACTCTCATGATATTCCAAATAATTGTCAATGGGGTTTTTTCCCTGTGGAAAACATAAAAATACAGTAATGTTCAAAAAACTAAGGTCAGCAAGAAAAAAAAAAGAAAAGAAAAGGAATTATGTTCTTTTGAGCATTTTATTCAAGGAATAAAAAAAAAATCACCATTTCCACAAAAATATTCAACATTGATAACAAGAAATGTTTCTCGAGCACCAAATCGGCATATTAGAATTATATCGGAAGGATCTTGCGACACTGAAGCCTTGCCATCGCACAAATAAATTACATTTTAAAGTATATTAAAATAGAAAATTTAGTATTTAAAATTGTAATAACATTTATTTGTTTTCGATTAAATAAACACAGCCTTTACACAGAAACGTATTGAAAAAAATCTAATAAAAAAAAAATTCTTACAATTGGAATGAAGCTCTATTATAGCATTGAGGAATTAAAATTAAACCTTTTTGGGGTTTTTGACAGCCAAAGGCATTATGAACTGTTGTTACATAGCATTAGCTACATATAGCATGCGTTCCAAAGAAAAAACGTAACATACAGGTTTGGAACAACATTAGGGTTAATAAAGGATGACAGCATTTTAATTTTTGTCCCTTTATTTTACATTAAAGATGTCAGCTATTTCACAACACATATAGCCTATACATAAAAAAGACAAGAGTGAAAGAGAGAGAAAATTAGATGTAGCTCAGCTCTATATCATCCCTCACACCCCAGACAGGCAGCGGTGCTGCAGCAGGATAATTCAATCTCTAAACTGCTCATTCTTTAGCCGCTGTCAGGGTCATGTCTGCCCTGACATTGTAAGGCTGCTGTAATTGCATTTGCGCTGGAACCCAGAGCCGCAGCATCTTCAGGCTCTATATCAGTCAGAGGAATGTGCATCTCTCTGGTCAGACTGGTCCAGGGAACCAGAAACGAGCTGATCAGACAAACAGATGGCTGTGCCGCCACCCCCAAGGCACAACGAGCGCTAGATATTTGCTTTAGATCAAACAGCATTGTTCATGGGAACAGAGATGTCAAAACATCTATAGGCCCATACATATCACATTTGCATGTAAATTTTTTGTATGTATGTGCTCACCACGGCTTTTTTTAATCAAAAATACAGTAAAAACTTAATATTGTGAAATATTATTACAATTTTAAATAAATCTTTCCTATTTTAATATATTTAAATGTCATTTATTTACAGATGATACATTTGATACTTTTTTCAGATTATAAAGCTCAAAAGAACAGCATTTATTTGCAATAGTTTTTTTTAAAACAGTCTTCACAGTCACTTCTAAACAATTTATTGCAACCTTGCTGAAATAAAAGAATTAAATGCTTCCTTTAAATTCTTATTGACCCCGATGTTTTTAATGGTGGTGTATGCATATACTTTATAAAAAACGTCAAATAATGTTACTAACACATTTTCAAACAGTAGAGTATCCTCAGATTTGAAAGATGCCCTTGAACTCTCAGTGACTTGAACATTGGGTTTTGCATAATATCTAGAGAATATTATACTCATAATATACTAAATCCATTGTGCCTGATCTACAATTTGAAGTGCCTTGAGGCTCTATTTTTGGATCTGGCAGCACAGGTTCTGACAAGCTTTGGGCTTGCGGTGAGGGGTGCTTGCAATTTTCACTGTCACGAATTGTGTAATAGATCCATCTTCTTTAACACAGTGACGTCTGTGGGAGATTTTCACCACATAGTCCTGATCTACTTTTGGACTAAAGGCTTTGACAAACTAGACTGTGGCACCCACGTCAAGCAAAATCCCTTTCTTTTGTACCACGCTATTCTTATAGAACCTATAACCTGATCATTTAATGGTTATTTCAGACAGATGTAAGCATGTCAAATTCATTGTATACCAATAGTAAGCTTGACTATAACTTATGCAACCATCACATTATTACTAATGTAGCTCAGGCAGCTCAGTTATTGGCCCTGACTGATCGTAAACGCACCAAAACCCTTTGCTTATACACTCTTGCGTTCATTGTGCGCTTTTGATCAAACCACTGTAAAACTTGTGACTAAAGCTTAGCCTGAGCCTCCTGAATAAATCACACTATTGACCATGCACTTATCAATAAGGGTAATGACAAACATCTGTCCCCATTTTTAATGAAATCGACAAGACTTTACTGGCACTCCACCGGCAGCAGCCATTCCCAGATTGACAATCTTTTAGAGCAAAGCAGTGAAAGTAAATGAAGCAAGCGCCTGCAACCGATGCTGTAAATCGAAAGGTATACAGTATTTACTTAAATTGTACAAGACTTGAGCTTCTATGCAAGCAGCGATCGAAAAGAATGTTTCGTTTTAAGATCCTCAACAATCCAATGATCTGTGAGAAACAAAAGAAATAAATATAAAATGGTAAAACGAGGACGCTTCTCGCTGACGGTTTCCTGTCCAGACCGCAGGCTCATGTTCCACTGCCTGTCTGTAACAATACCAGCCAGCTGACGATACGCTTCACCGGAGATGAGATCCAAGCATTGAGAGGAACTATAATACCAGTGAGATCAATGGACGGGCCGCTTTTCGGCATATCGTTCTAATGAAGAGTTTGTTGCAGCACGTCAGCGCAGTGGCCCGTGAGACAGCATTTGCATGCATCTCTGTAAGACAAGAAACACCCCATTTAATGATCACCTTCCACTATTTAACTCTAATATCAGCAGAAGAATATGCATATGGAAGGGGAACAATCACCTTTCCGTCAAGTCACAATGAGAAGAGAGTCAATAACTCTTCCTATAATACGCATTGATCACTAAGCACATATGAAGTCCCTTTATCATGTACAATTGGCTGAAAAGGTTTTCTCCGATAAAATAACGCAATATAAACACAGCTAGAGGCAGCAGGAAAATGCCGATATTACACGTTACTTTAATAACTCTCTCCATAGAGCCTGCATATCAGAACAATGGACATATCAGATTGCATTGTGGGTCAGAGAGGCTGAAACACAAAAGTGCAATCACCAACACCTCACAAAAAGGTATTTTTTTCATTAGAAAAGCCAGTGTGAGATACGCACTCTACATAATCCAGTTGGACTTAAAGACCGAGATCTCACTCCAGCGATTTCATAACCCCACCTGATTCACATTTTTCAAGCTAGGATTTTAAGATGCAAAACCTTTTAATTTTCATAGATTTGTAAAGCTGACAGATTGACAGATTGAAGATAATCCTTGTTCGATCTTTATATAGAATAAGACTCGAATACAAGTCTAAAGTGAAAATCTGCCATAAAGCTCGCCCAAGCATCTTCAGGGTTTCACTGTCACTCTCAACTGGCTTCTCAATTCATTTAGCGGATGACGCCCCACACACAATGAAAAACTCATAAAACACAGCTCCCCCTCAAATATATCCACGCAGGAGAAACCCGAAGGCTTTAAAAGTTCAATTTCATTATAGCAAGCTTTAGGACCTTATGTGCCTCCACTGGAATCAATTTGTTTTTATCTCAAAGAGGAGCATCAATTTGTTTTGACCTCAAACCGGAGCCTCTTAAAAAACACCAAGATGCACATGCACAATTATAAACCTTTATAGTGAACAAAACAACCCAAGCACAACCATCGGCACATTTGAGCCTGCACTGCCTCCAACCAAATAGTTCAGATAACTGCATGACTCTGGAATGTATATGGTCCAGATACGTGTGCAGTGAAGTTTGCCACACCTAACCCATCACAGAGAGCACTGCACAGCATCTTATCACAGCGCAAATACTGCAGAGTCCAAACCTAAAAGCCCTCAAACCAATTCCCTCACAAAAGGCTTTGTAACAAACACTTCAAGGTCAAAGAACGGCCACAAAGACGGCTTACTGTCAACGATGCATCATGTTACTGAGCCACACAAGTATGGCTGCATAATGGTCTGAACACAGATAATTCAATAACATGACGGAATAGAAAAATATTTTCCAAAAACAAAGCAGCACTGCACTCTAAAAATGCAATTTAAGGTAAGTATATTCAATCTTACTCGGAGGATAAAATAAGCCAACAGACGTTTTAGCTTACAGCCTTTTTAGAAATTGTATTCAGTATTATCAGGTGTTCATAATTAACACTTTTTACATTTTTTAGAGTGCAGACTGTCATTGTTCTAAGAAAATAGACATGCCGGCCTTGGCTTCTATATCAGCTGAGAGAATGCACTTTTTTAACAGAAAAATATGAAATACACTGAATCAAGAAGTTAGTTATGCAGTCTGTAAATGTGGTGTGCAATTTTTCAATCCTCTATGTAGAGAACCGACAATAATTGACAAAACAATAATTATAACAGAACAATGATTGTATATTTCACCAGGGTAAAACACTAGGATCAGGTGTGGAATCACAAAACTGTAAACTTTATTTTTTTTTTTTTACGGGGTAAAGCAGATGAATAGTCCTCCTCACTCCCTGGCAATCCTGTTACCACAGGGATTTGTTCTGGCAGCCCTGTAAAAGATTAGTCCTCCAGGAGAGTGAATGGACTTGATTAGCTAGACAGCATTTTAATGGGATTGTCACAGAGGCAACAATAAATCAGCTTTTGTGATTAAATGGGCGCTCCAGTAAAAGTTGTATGTCCACAGATCAATAATTATTGAATGTTGCTCTCGCTCACACAATGGAGGTGGTAAAAACCCAAAATTTTGGCAAGATAATGATTGAGAAAGACGACAACATGTGCATTCCAATGACACTATTGTACATGAGTGCATCTGTGGGTGTCAAAGAAAAAGAAAAAGGCACTACGTAACATGAAAATAAAATAAATAGGGCAGTACTTGGAAGATTATATGAAGAGAAAAAAGGAGCA